TAGTTTAGTTTAGTTTAGTTTAGTTTAGTTTAGTTTAGTTTAGTTTAGTGCCTTCAAGTCAGTTTTTGACTCCAGGCAGCTGCCTGGACTAGGCCCTGCAGTTTTCTTGGCAAAGTTTGGAAACTTAATACAACTTAATTATACACCCATCAAGAGCAAGCATTTTTTGGTGGGGGGGGAGGTGTCTTTGAGTCACTTGACTCCTGGTGACTGCCTGGACTGGTCCTTGTAGTTTTCTTGCCAAGATTTCAGGAGCGGTTTGCCCTTCTTTCTTCTTCCTAGGGCTGAGAGAGAGCAATAATTAGGCAGTATAAATCATAAAATGAGGTTAAGAATTACAATAATTGTTATCTGAACAATTAAAGACTTTATGTTAAGAGAAATCCAGATATCAGATGTGGCACAAGCCTGTATGTAGAGTTATACGCCAAAAAGTGTTTTTAAATTGAGTTAAATTCAGATTTACTTTTGAAATACAAAGTTATTTTAGACATTGAGGCATCTTCTCACAGCTTAATTAGCCATTTTTCTACAGATGGAACTGTGCATTCTTTCCAGTAGGAAATATACATTATCCTTGCATGAACAACCAACTTTGTGTATTTCACCCAGAAATCGATTGGCAGCCAGTGCTATGCCTTAAGTGATATAATTTGGTCTCTTTGATTCTTCCAAAGACAACTTAGCTGTTGAGTCCCCTAACAAATGTTTCCATAGTCATAATAGGCAAAGATAGTGTGTGCTGCAGAAGTCAGTCCTGAAGAAGAAGATGATGATGATGATGATGATTAGATTTTTATCTCACCTTTTTTTTTACCACAATATGCATCACAGATTTAAGATCATGTTCTTTTAGGAAGAAACACTCTATCAGTCATGGCTGTAAAGAAAACCCCAGTCAATGTCTCCATTTAAAAACCCAATGAAAGATCTGGATAGATTTTTCTGGGAAAATGTAACCTATTCAGAATAATGAAACTACCACCTTTCTGTGTTAACATTTATGTTGGCTGTATTATAGCTATTTATTGATTTCAAAAAGCATCTTTCTGATTTGATGTTTCATGTCTGCAAATCATCTTAAAAGTACTTGCTATTGAGTGGCATGATAAACCTCAAACAATAATAAAAATTGCTGTAGTCAGAGATCTCCTGCACTTCCCCTGAATTAGTTTCATGTACTATTGCTGATCCTTCTCCCAAATTTATATTGTTTTCTGGACTTCTGGTGAGGATTCATGGTGAACTAGATATCCCTGAAGGAGTGGGGACAGCATTGCGATGATTGGCAACCAGATGGCAAATTCTGGCTGGCGAAGTCTCTCTGGAAAAAGGAGAGAGTGTGAGATTGCCCACTTGTACTCCAGACAGCTGCTCCTCATGAGTAGACTGCAGGAACTGAGGTTTTTGTGGTTGACTTGTCAGTCGATCGGCTAGGAGTTGAGAGATTTCTAAATTTATGTTGTTTTCCTACCAGGCAGAGTCAAGGGAGATGTCACAAAA